CTGCGTCGGGTTCTTCAGCAATCTCGCCGTGGAGAGCGTCGCCGGATTCAAGCTCGTCCGCGTCTCCGGCCTAATGTTCCAGAACAGGTGAGTAGATTTTGGGTAAATTATCTCAAATTTATGCAACAATCTAGTGTATTATATAGGGATGTAGATCAGATGAATACAAATGATTCAAATCCAATTTGACTCTCTCGTCCCTATTTTGACATACATTGATATTGGTATTTTGTGCCTCAAGTTATGAATTCGAATTAGGACAGCGTTAAGCTATCTGATATATTTGAATAGATATCTGAATAACTAATACATTGCCTAAATATATAAGAATTTATACGATTACAGATCGACAGATAAAATATAGTTAGTATTGCTCTGAGGTCATATTTTAACTGATTCAGTCATAGTTAATATTATCTCTCACAGTATCTGGATCAGATTAAGGTTCCAATTTGTTTTTATCAAGTACAGATAGTAAGTTTAGTTTTGGAACAATACCCATAAGCACAATAGCGGAGCTAGGGAGGGACCGGAGGAATTTGGATCCTCTCCACTAAAAAAAAGTAGTGGAGAGACCACTACTTTTTATACTTATTGTTGATTATTTTGTGAGTGATTAAGATTCATTCTATGTTTAGCGCTCACCATACCCCCATGTATTGCACTTATATCTAATTTACACTCAAAGACAAATCATAACCATCAATTAGGCAATCAATGACTTTGATATCACTGTGGTCTCTCCACTGGAGAGGATCCAAATCCAGGGGTGGCCATGTCCTCCCTTGCTTTTCATAAAGAAGTTATTTTTTTTTCATACTAGCCCCTAAACTCCTTCATATTTGAAAGCTATACCCCAACTCTTTCCATATTTGAGTTATCCCCCAAATCTTTTATATTTGGAATTAGCCCTTCAAATCTTCATACCTTGCAATTAGTCCGCCAATTCTTTGAAATGTTTGAAATTGCCTTTAATTACATTTACCATCTATTTTCATAAAGTTAATTTTACATTAGGAAGTAAATATGTGAAATGAGTTTGCTATATTCGTGCACTTCTGCAAATATTTTATAGATGTGATAGTTAAACTTGTTTTACATTTTTTTTATTATTGTTTGAAATAAGCTTAATAGTATAATTTATAATTTATTGTTAATT